CTTGATATCCTGTGTCCACCACTGTATTGACTAACCCCTGCCTCTTCCTCTAGAAAGCATATTTTCAAAAAATAATGCGTTTAATATGGCTAAAGAATTTTAGTTTCTTGTCTACAATCCCTGTTGTATCTTTCAGCATCAGGTTTTGAAAAGGCATCTGGTATAAGTCTTGGTGAGTACTGTGTAGATGCTGATATCCACAGCCCCAGATATTCCATCTATCCACAATTTGCCTGCGTGGGCTCTAGCTCTGCATCCATTTACAAAACTGTCTATTATATTTCAAATTCTGATATTTTTCCAAATGCAAACATCTTGAGGTTAGTGTTTTCATGATTTCTGATTCCTGAACTCATCCATGCTAGTAAATTTAAAGTTTTTGCTAGATTACAAAAACTACAGTAAAGCAAGAAGTTTATCACAAAACTAAGACATTTATATCAAAAACATAGTTTATCAAAAAAATCATGTGATTTCTAGTACAACAAAAAGTTACTAAGTAAAATTATGAGCCTTTATATATACAAATGATGATTCTGAAATGTCAATTATGAGATCTGTAATGAAGATGTCTATGCAGAAGGGCAGTTTCCTCACAACAAAACCATGAGATTGCTAGGGCAGTTATGAGGTTCCTAACACATCTGCCTGACAACAAAATAAGGTTTTGAAAAATATGTTTTAATCAGCACACATAATGCTTCTTGAAAATGTAACTGTGTTGTGATGGAATAATTTTAGATATACTCTCCTAGTTTTATGGTTTGAGGTGATTACCTCTTTTCTCAGCACATGATACTATCTGGTATTAATTTTACTACTTGATACATCTGTGCCATTTAAGAACCAGTTGAAAACCAACAAGGATAATCTCAAAAGGCAAACCACTTTGTTCTTTCACTTCTCATCATCACTCAGCAGGTCTTTTAAAGAACGTCACTCTCTTCATGGCAAGCTTAAAAGCCTCTCTTTCTCTAGCCAATTCTCCAGCCCTATGTGCTTTCACAGCTAATGAATCTTCAAAGTCTTGTCTCCACATCTGCAGAGGTCTGCTTCTGCCTCATTTTCCTAAAACTGCACCCCCATCAACATTCTCTTTGGGTCACCATGACGTTTAACATGGCCAGAAGACTTCAGCTTTGGGACAGGGAACTGTTTGTCTTCTTCTTTTTTTCGCCAATCACTGACTGTAAACTCCAGCGAAAAGTTCTGGTTGTTTGTCCACCTCTGGACTTTAATCGTGTTCCTGAACCTGAGTGCTGCATGCACATCTGTTTTACAGATATGGCTTACCTGTTTGCAGACTGTTGCTTCCTTGTCTATTCAGAAGATGCATTCTGACTTCAAAGGAAACCCCCTCCCCCCACAATAATTAGCTGACTCATACAACATGCTTGTTGGGGAGACAGCGGGTCTAATATTGTTCCCCCCCCCCCACAATGGGACCCCGGAACCCATTTGGGAAGGGTGCTTTTTATGAGTCAATTCTTCTGGATGCTAAGATCATGAAGAATGTCAGGGTTTTTCTTCTTCCTGATCCAGGGTATTATCATTTTTCTGCAGCATTTCGTATATAGGTTTGGAGTAATATAATTTACAAATCAAAAACAGAACAAAATAAAATTTGTTGAAAAAAAAAATAGAACAATAAGATAATTACTTAATGGCAGCAGTGTAAAATTTAAAAAAAACAAAAAGCCATTGCAATCCAATCCATGCATATGTTCGCTGCTTGCAATTTCACTAAGGACTTTTTTTTTAATAATCAGTTGTTGGCAACTGCTTGCTGAATGGTCAGATCTCAACACCATTTTCAAAATCAATGTAAAGTGTCTGCTGCTAAATTGCCCACACATCCAAAATCAAGCCATGTATCTCAGAATTACAAACCATGTCCACAACACATAATCTACAAGACACTGACATGAACTATCTTAACCTTGCATTATACATCTCAGTTCAGTTCAGAACTGAGGAAAATCAGCAAAAGCAAGAAGATAACCAAGATATAATGAATAAACTTCAGTCCCCAAGAATGTGAATGCGCATTAAAGAAATCTTAAGAAAAGGAAGGCACCTGGACCTGATCGAATGACAAATGAAATGATACTACACTTGGGACCAGTTGGTAGGCAACGACCCCTAGACCATAACAATCAATCCTGGACTTAGGGTCTCTCCCAAAAGTCCAAGTCCAAGTCCTTTTGAGAAAAAAAATAAAAGCTCGACCACGTTCAGACTGCTGCTAGCTAGCCTAGGCTGCTAACAGTCTCCGCCTATATTTGTGGTCTGGGTTATTTGCGTCACTTTCGTGACTGAATACTGGTGTTTGTGCCATTTCTGGCTTAATGTTTCCATCCGAATCAAACTCTCCCAAAAGAATGGAAGGAGGCAGAAATAGTCCCCACAGCCAAGAAAGGAAAGCTTAAGGAAAACAAATTTAGTTACCGCCCCATAAGCTGCCTTGGAAAGACCAAGGAAAGATTAGTGAACAACAGGTTACTTTATTTCCTGGAAGAAAACAATATATTGGATGAAGCCAATTAGGTTTCAGGAGATTCAGAAGCACTGATGACCAAACCTCTTATCTCACACAGGAAATTGAAGATGCTTTCCAGAAAACATACAAATTGCTAGCTACTTTCTTCAACCTGACCAAAGCCTTTGATAAGGTCTGGAAGAAAGGACTCTTGCTAAAACTAGCACACAGTGGGATAAAAGGGCATATGTTTGCCTGGATTAGAGACTTTCTTTACAGACGCTGTGCAAGAGTCAGACTGGAAGAACACAAGAGCAAGCTGGTCAGGTTACAAGAAGGTGTCCCCCCAGGGAGGTGTTATATCTCCTACCCTGTTTATCCTTATCATCAATGACCTCCCAAAACAGTTCATGACTCACATTCACAAGGTCCTACATGCAGATGACCTGGCCATAATAACCCAAGCTGAAAATATACGAACAACTAAAACAAGAATGCAAGAAGCTATAAATACAGTTAAGAAATGGACAGACTCTTGGGGGGGTCACAATAAACCAGACCAAAACCGTCTCAACTCTTTCCACAAAACCAGAACAAGTTGATCTGTACCTAGAAGGCAACATCCTCCCAAAAGAGGATAACCCCACACATATGGGAGTAAAATTCGACAAAAGACTAACCTGGGGCTCCCACACTGAAGACACCCAAAGAAAGCTACCCTGAGGCTCAGACTCATGAAGAAACTTACTGGAACAAGCTGGGGCACAGATGCCAACACTGTACAACAAGTATACACAGGATATGTACGACCAAAACTGTAGTATGGCATGGGAGCATACTCCACTGCAGCCAAATCAAACCTACATAAACTGGACAAAATACAGCACACTGGTCTCAGAATCATTACTGGAGTTATGAGAAGCACACCAATCCATCAGCTGGAGGCAACTTCTAGCCTCTAGAGCTTGACCCTTTGAAGGGAAGAGAAGGTGCTTACCCTAACAGAAAAATGTAAATGCATGAACAACAACCTCATGCACAGAATAGTAAATAACCTAACTAAAAACCAACTAAAAAGACACAGCTTTCACCATCTATAAACAAAACAACAAACAGTGACATCCTTTCTAAACATCCTTCAACATGAGAAATGATCCAGGCATACAGCATAGACCTACAGCCTAACTATACAGTCACAACAACAATTCCAGGCATAGACAGAAAAGCTGAAGAATGGGATCTAGTACTGCTGGCAAAGACACTTCAAAATGTCTACAACTATTATCCAAAACCCGAATGTATACACCGATGGATCTTTGGAGGGAGGAGAAAACAAATGGAGGAGCTGGATCGGTCATCATGCTGCAAGATGGGACCACAGTAGAAACGTTCTCTGGAAAACTTTCAACAAACTTCAGAGCAGAGCAGCAAGCAATTATTGATTCAGACAAAGTGCTTAAGGAAAGAAAAAAAAAACAGAAAAATTGTTTTCCTTTGTGACTGCATGTCAGTCCTCCAAGCGACTCAGAGGGATCCATGAGACAACATGGATAGAGAACTGATCCGCCAGCTAAACAGACTCACAGAAAACAATGAGATCGTTCTCCAGTGGATCCCGGCTCACTGCGGCATCCCAGGAAATGAGTTAGCAGACAAGACTTGCTAAAAATGGAACAAAGGAGAAACAACACACCCATCCATTGTCATTAACAAAAATCAGAATACTTATCAAGGGAAAATACAAGGAATTGTGGAGAGAACAAACTAACAGTAAACATCCACAAGACCCCATCAGCAGACTCAACAGAAAGCAACATACAATTTTATGTCTACGAACAGGACACTACAGACTAAACTACCACATAAAATAAAGACTGTACAGTTCCCCACAGTGTGCCTGTCAAACAGGACCACAAACACCTGAGCACATTCTGCAGACCTGCCCACTCTACATACAACTATGAAAAGACACTTGGCCTCAAGAGCAAAGTGTGCAGAGCAAGCTATGGGGAACCATGAAGGTCCTGCTACTGACATGCGAGTTCATAGAGGCAACCCATCTGATGGTCTGACCTGAGCATAGAATAAGAGTATTATACATCTGAAGATTATCCCTGATGCGATCACAGCAACCATTTTCATACTCAGTTCCCCACTTAAACAGCCATAATTAGGAAAATCCTTAAGGGAACAGTTCCTATTTCATCATGATTTCATCATCAAATCCCAAAATTCGTAAATCATAAATTTTTTCGACACCTTAGATCTCTGTGGTATTAATCTGCTAGTCTGTAACTTGATATAAAAATTCCAAAATTCATCAAATCATACTTTCTTATAACTGAGTCACTTTGGATCTGTGTGTCAGGGATCTTATAATGTGCAAATGGATATAATGATTCTTGAATTCATTGGATTGTACTTTTCTATATTTCGGCCTCTGTGGATCTTTGTTGCATGAATCTGACAGACTGTAACTAGATTTCATAAAGATTCTAAGCTTCATCAAATCACACTTGTTCTAGACTTGAGTCACTTTGGATCTATGAGTCATAGATCTTTTAGTATGCAAACTGATATAAAGATCCCTAAACTGATCAAAGCCTGCAAGAACACCAGCCCCTGCAATGTTTCTCAAAATGTTGGCAGTGGCTCCTTTCATCAGCGTTAAACTACCCTCCTTCTTGATGATTTGAAAGGCACAATCAAGAGCTCCCTTGTACTGAATCTTCTCCCCACAAGTCACCATCAAACGGCGCCGGATGGTATCCAGTGGATAAACTATCAAATTTGCAGTCACTGTGATACTATAACTCAAAGTGAAGGATGCCAAAAAACCAGGATCTTTCTCTAGGACCATTGGTTTTAGACTGTCATAGAAGCCGAAGTATAACCCTCGGTAGATCATGATGGAAACAAGAGAAACAAAAAAGCCTTTGTAAAGTCCCTGTATACCATCAGACCTCCATGTTTTCTTATATACATCTATAAGTCCAGAAAACTGTCTGTCTGCACCGGCTTGCACCAACAGTTTCGTGTCCAGAGCAAGTCTGGTTCTGGCATAGTCCAAAGAGTATGTGATACAGTTGGAAAGTGCTCCAGCTGCACTGCCCGAAAGAATGTTTTTGATGAATCTTCTGGGATGTGATTCCCCTGGAGATTTCTTAAAGATGGTTTTGATGTGATCATTGAAGGCAAAGTTCAAAGCTTGAGTTGGAAAGTATCTGCAAAATATTAATAGCATGCATTATAAATGTCTGGAAAAAATTTGAAGAAAAAACAAAACGTTAAAACCTTCTATTCTGGAATAGACAAGGGAACAAATTAGCATTAGGTAATTATTTTGTTGGAAACGTTCTGTCTTTCCAGAAGTAGTGTCATACTGTGTTACAAGAAGGCATGGAGTTCGCAGCCAATGCCAGTGTCACAAGCAGGACCTGATCATTTTCAGAAAAAATCTTTGACAACTGCTGCATGAGATTTCATGATCATTGTTGTGACCACAGGCATTTAACCTGCTTCTTCTCAGGCGCTCAGCTCTTACCGATCTGCAATCGTTTTCTCCATTATCCTCATTCCCTTGCCTATACCCCCCCCCCCCACCATTTTAATTTAGTTTTTCGACTGTGACCAACGTGGTGGTGTGAATTGTAGATTCACAAAAGGCGCATTGCCTGTTTTTCCAATATTGGTGGTGCCATTATGTGATTAAAATTGATTGCGTGTGCAACTGCTGATTTGTTGGTGACTTCTGCTACCATCAATGATAAACTGTATTTCTAATGTCTTCGGATGCACTCCGGATAGCTACCGTATGCTTTTAATGCGTGTGTATGCTAGTGTATGTACTGAGACAGCAGTCTGTCAATCTTTCCACAAGGGACTGTGATAAACATTCTGTGAGTTTTTCGTGGGCACAGGAGAGGAGCAACCAAGGGGTGACCCGTTTGCTATGAAGCTGAAACTAAGATCACCAGATTCCAGACACTGTCCCTTCTAGCCGGTATTAAATTTACAGTTTTTTTTTTTTTTTTTTTTTTATATATTTAATTAAATGTCAAATTGTTCTGTTCAGTGTTTAAAATATTTATTTCCATATTTTTTGGACTGCAAAAAAAAAAGGGCGCTCATCTTATACATAGAAAAACAAAATATATGGCAATTCTAGTCATCATCGTACCTGACACAGTTCACAAAATTGCTCCTCCATAAAGAGACCACACCCTCTGTTTGTATAGTTCTCCAGGCACAGTTGACAATTCCCTTGTATGGTGAGGGCAGCCGGCCCAGCTTAATCATCTCATTCTGGTTCTTGGCAGTGAAAATAACATGTGGTCAATTGTATTTAGAGTATGAAAATGCAACGGGTAACAACAAATACAGTGTGTAGTAAGTCAGCAGAAGTACACTGAGGTGACTGCTGCATCTGAGGACTCAGCAGGCATTAGAATGTTCATCCTCCACTGACATGACACAACAAAATGTAGTTTGTCAATTTTATTTTCTGGTGATTTCACTAGGACTATGTCATTTAATAATGTTTCAGTTTTTTTGTTTTTTTTAAACTAATTTTTTTTTTTTTTACCTGCAAAACATCTAAAACAATTACTAATAAGCTACAAACATTCATTAATTGGTATAAAGAATAAAGGGATTAAAAAGTATGACAGAATCACTAATTTTGAGATTTGGTGAAAGTCGAAAAAAAAAAAGATAAGAGGCGGAGGGGGACATTGTGTAGGCTGCATGCAACAGCAGAGGATAGGACAGCTTGGTTTCATTAGGTAGATGGCCTATGCTCCATTGGAGGGATAAAGGGCAGAAAGAGAAAAATTAAGAAATAGTACAGATCAAAACAATATGTATAATCAAAGTTACACAAAAAAACCTGGTCTTTAACTCTTAGAGCCAGTCATATATGAGTGTCAATCTACTTTTAGCTGAGTATTAGTTTGACTACTGCATGCAATTTTGATTTTTTTCTACAATTTAATTAATTACGAAATAATTAGAAATCAAAATTGTGTAATTAAAACTATCTCCGAAACCTGGCCCTATTATTTATCATTTTCACAAATAGGTGCTAATAATAATCCTGTATATGAAATATTCTTCTTCTTCTTCACTTTTGCTTATGCTTTCTCGACCTGTAAACTTCAGCAGAAAGTCTTGGCTGTTCACCAACTTCTGAACTTTGGTCTTATTCCAGGACCTGAGTATTGCATGCTCATCTGTTAAACAGATCTGGCTTATATGTGTGCAGACTGTTGGCCCCCTCATCTCTCAGGCAAATGCATTCTGACTTCAAAGAAAATGTTGACCTCACCTAGGTTGACCAGGCTGACCATGAAGAGACTTAGCTAGGTTTTGATCTGTGTGAGACCTGGTGCTGGGGCACTACCACGAGTGGTGCAGCACCTCTACATCCTTCTTTAACACCAATATTTACCTGGTTTGCTCTCTCTATCTATCTATCCCTCTTTCCCACTGTATGTCTTTATCGGTTGTGTCCTTACCTGTATAAGCAATTTGATCCTCTCTATTGGTGCCACAGTTGTCTTTGAGATAACAGCTGCTGATCCAGACAGGAGAAAGTTCTCAGCAAAATTGAGAGGCTTTGTATCCGTCATCTGTGGAACCCAGAGAATTAACTGTTTTATTCATAAATTTTCAGTCTCAGAAGATTCTGAATGTAGAATAATTTCCCTTTGGGTCTGGTGGCTCCATTCTGGAGGAAGAAAAGAAAAATCCCACAGCCCTCTAACAAGTATGTCTTAAAGGTCACTAAAAGTGAAGAAATTACAGCCTAGCTGTAAACCACATCACAACATACCAACTGCTTCTTTGCGGGTGAACACATAGAGAGGAGGAGGAGAAGATGAAGAACAACAACAAAATATGTCACCAGCTGTATATACACAACCAGCTGTACGAGAAATAATCAGCCCACACAAATCAACAGACAACTAATAATTTATAATTCGAACACATGCATTTATTTAAAGGAAAGTATACCTATGACATTTTGGTTATGTATCAGTGGCTTTTACAATTCCTAATACAAAATGTAACTAAATTACACTGGTGGTGAAAGGTTAAAGACAACAAAGTAAATAAATGCTATTCCCATGCTATGATGAAGTATGGCACCAGCTGCTATTTTAGGGCCGAATGATGACTGCAATATTTGGCTTTGGTGGGCCCTAAAGGAGTAGTGGTTTTTAAACCATCGGCTAACCGAGCAGTTATAATGTTGGGCTCTCTAAGGTGATGCAGCTGTGGAGGGCAAAATTATACATCCTAACCTTCAGTCTGTGGGGGCAGCACTAGTCATGTGGTCCCAAATCTTCAGGACCCCCCACACACAGTAGTGACAATATATTTTCAGTTCTAATTTTATTTTAACTTTAATATTTGTCAGTCAGATTTGAAGAAATGCTAAAGACATGAAATAAAACTTAAATGCATTCAAAATCAAATGATTAAAGAAACTGTCAAACATTAAATAGAAAGAATTTAAGAAAATCGAAGAAATAGGAGAAATATATTGATGGCCGCTAGTATCAACAGTTATAAGACTAAATGCCTGGCTAGCTAAGTTGGATAAACTAGCTGCACGGTGACGTGGTGACGAACTCCTTGTGGTCCAAGTTCATGCTCGAGGCTAGGCAGAAAAGCTACATATCTCCTAGATTTACGGTAACTATCCGAAGGGTTGCAATATCCATAGTAATGACCCAAACAGTTTACACCTCATGGTTTCTGGATTTTAAAAAATTGGCTAGGGAAATATCAAGCTCCTCAGACAGACAATTTGCAAACAGGCAGAGATATAGGGAATAAAATGTACTGAAGAAACATGTGTCCAAGAGAAACTCTGAAGCGAACACTGATGAGACAGGCCAAAGGAGCTGATCTGGATTTCATACCACAAAACTTGCACAGGATAGAATTCCACTGAAGAATATATGGTAGGCCCTATGTAAAGTATAAACAGCTCAAAGCTTGATGATGATGATGACAAAAATGACATGAATAACAAAGTTTTTTTTTCCAAGATACCCCACGTATAGGGTGACCATAATATCTTGAGCTGAAAACGGGACAACCCAAGTAGGTCAGTTAAATCCGAATACCCTTTTTTCTAGGTCATAGGTGTGAAAGGGTTAATTACTCGCTCGACAATAGCATTAAAAACTAAACCACTGTCACCAAGAAATAAACGAAACAAAATGCTCTTTAATTGCGCTAAAAAAACTGCTACAGTGAAAATTCCCATTAACATATTTCTAGCATTCAAACTCGCAATAAATACACAAGGATGTGAAAGCACAACTTTAACACGACCGCGCGTGGTTCCCTTTCGATCACTGGGCGAAATAAATAACAATGAGGTCAGGTGTTGGCCTAATTCTGAAATCGACTTTTAACTCCGTTCGCTGCCGGTGCGCTAGCTCGGTTGGTTTAGCCTGACTTCACGGCGACCGGGTGAAGAACTCCTCCTTGTGGTCTGGGTTCACGCATGGGTGTAAGCAGAAAAGCCACATTATCTCCCAGATTTACGGTTCCTATCATACAATCAAGACCGAAGGTTTGCGATGTCCATTCTACTGAGCCAAAAGGTTTACAACTCATTATTTCTAGATATGTACAAAAACAAAACAAAAAACTCCGCTCTCATACAGCTAAGTACCTGGGAACCTACTACCCCTAACTTTACGGAAACTCGCCCTGCTCTAAACGGCGACTTTTATTTCAAATTCTGCCCCTGGTCAAGTCCGGGATTCAGGCATAGGCTAAGCAATAGCTTAGGGCAGGTTTATTTAACTGTCGGCCCGGGAGCCAAATATGGCCCGCGGAGAAAAGTCACGGTTCCTATCATACAATCAAGACCGAAGGTTTGCGATGTCCATTCTACTGAGCCAGCGGCTCGCTAAGTACCTGGAACCTACTACCCCTAACACTGCCAATTGTATTGTAAATGACGGCATTTTATTTAAGATAATTTAAGCGATTCATTTTTTTTTTTTTTTACTTCTATTTCACTCCTGCCATCAGCATGGGATAGACAGAGTTAAACATAGTTATACGAATGACCCCAAGAACACGACTGATAAACGCAATACTGGTACTGGGCTTGCAGCATACTCTCTCGGTAAAATATTCCAATCGTTAGTGCAAAGGTCAAACTGAAATACTCCAATCAGCGTTTAGCAACTTGATATCTGGTCCACTGGCTCTCATGCGGAAGACCCGGCCTCGGTCCGTGGAATTTTTGTTTGTTTGCCGACCTTATATGCCCAGGCTCGGGGGGGGGGGGGGGGGGGGGGGGGGGAGTGTGAAGAAAAACATGACTTCCATACGGTACAAGGGTAGTGCCGTAATATTGGTCTTCGACTTAATATTTCCCAAGAAAACATCGGATGCACATTCTTACCCATACAAGTCTCCTTTGTGGAGACAATACAAACTGTATTACAGCAGATTTGTGTGTATGTGTGGTACTCAGCGGTACGCAGTACCGACAGCTATTCCCAAGCATTGTTTTTTTTTTCTCAGCACTGATGTAACAGATACTTTGCAGTGAGCATCAGCACTTTGTTTTTCCCTGAAAACAAATGGCCAGCTTGCAGAATATATTAACAGAGGTCCACTAATACTTTAAGTCCAGTTTTCATTTGGGAACATGACGTCATCCTGTTTCTGTTATTTCCCATTATAATTTTTGGGAGCACTTTCCATCATTGAAATGTGAATATCCCCGTTTATAATTGACACACAGACTTCAATAAGGTAGCATTGGACTTCAACCTCTACCCAGCTGTCTTGGTTTAGAAGTAAAAAACCCAATATATAAAGTTTGACTCAACTCCCTACCAGGATACGTGGGTGATGTTATAGGCATGATCCTGTTGAACATGTTCAGTGGATATTTTGGTCAGTTCAAGCATACCAATAAATAAGTTTTGATGCTGTTAATAACAGCCTTGCAGAGTTCCCTACAATGTCTCCAATTTCTTTGTGTAAAAAACCCTCACAGCAGATGAGCACATAGAACGACAGATAATAAACAGTAGGCAAATAAATACACATCAGGCAGGTCTAGAGAGCCGGATATATAAAAACAATGTGTTGTGGTCACCTCAAACAGTGTTTCCCAAAGGCATATTGGGTTGTTCAGCCCCCCCCCCCCCCCTTCCTTTTCTCCACCCAAACACAAAAATTATATTTAAAAATGGGGGGAAGGGGGTCCCTCATTTAAGAAAGCTACACACATTTTTTTAACTAAATAATTCTACCAAGTTCCCTGAGTGCCACTCGATTTGACCAAAACCAATCATTTAAACCATCTTTTGTGAGAACTACACACTCTGAGCCCTCATATACTGCACTAGTAACACAACTTTGTTAAAAAAAAAAATGCTATATAACTGTTACATGTTTATTATGTGATACTGGTGACATATGTCTAACTAAATTTCATTATCAAATTATTAACAGCTAATGAAACCAGCTGACTAGCTGGCAACAAAATAGAATAAACTATGTCAACCAGACCTCTGTTTAAACTATTTAGCATCCATTACAATTTTTTTTAAGTGAACAATAAAAGACCATAAAAGTCAAGGTTCAATGACTGACAGTTAACTAGGATTAAGAGAACATATGACCATATTAGGTTCACAAATTATTCACTAACATTAAAAAAGCAGGTCCTGTGCAGAACGTTGCTCCTACCATGGCTAGGCAAAAAACATGTCAGTCCCTTGCTAAACCCTCAGCTGCAGATAATTTTTTGGGTAGGCAAAACCAGCACCTTGTTAGGCAAATTTTAGGGCTACTGCAATAGACATTTTGGAGGGAGCACAGGCATTTGTTAAACAGATACTATGGGGAGAGTACTGGTACCTTTTCTTATTTTTAAAAACAGCCCTGTTCAGTTGTATATTCTTTCATGCTCTGGGATCTCTACTGCCCTGTGCCTATCTATATGCTGGTTAATCCATGTCACTTCTTTAAGAACTTACACTACTGTATTTGGAAAACATTGTCAAATAAGAAAAAAATTGTACAATTCTTCTTCTTAACATTCACCAGCTGTAAACTCTGACAAAAATTCCTGGTTGTTAACCCACTTCTGGACTTCAGTTTTGTTCTAGAACTTGAGTTTTGCATGAAAATTCATGTTACTGATTTGGATTATTTGTATGCAGACTGTTCACCCCCCCCCCCCCCCCCCCCCCCTCCGATGCTTTCTGACTGAAGGAAACACCTATAATTAGTCGCCTATTGTGACATCTTTCTTGGGCAGGCGGGGGCGGGAAGGGGGTGGGGGGGGCGAGAATGTGTCATGGCAGTGTATATATTCTATTTCCCAGACAATGGGGCCCGGAAATGCATAGTTAGTAAGAAATAATTATTTCAGTTTCCAAGATAAGATTGTGTTTATAAGACAGAAGTTATCTATTTTTAAATATTGGAAAATGTAGATATTGTTGATCTGCATCATTCTAACTGCTTCCCTATTTTCATCATTAGGATTAAAAGCCATATAGCCTACTATGTGAATGAAAAAAGCCTAAATATATTTTAGAAGGCTTCCAATTAAAAAATATTCAAAGGTAACAGT